AAAAGAATAAGAAATAAAAGAAAAGAAAAAAAATGCCTCATTAAGTTTTAAAAACCAATCTTTCCTATTAGGGTTCACTATTTTCTCCAAAATGTGTTTGATCTCCTTATTAGCAAGCTTTACTTGTCCACTTGTTTGAAAGTGATAAGAGGTGGTAACTTTGTGTGTGATTTCATATTTCTTCATTAAAGACTTAAATGACTTATTACAGAAATGTGTTCCACCATCACTTATCATGGCTCGAGGGATTCCAAATCGACTAAAAATATTTTATTTTAAAAACTTTATCATTTTTTTGTGATCATTGTTTCGACTTGAAATTGCCTCTATCCATTTTGAAACATAATCTACTGTTTAGTGTTCTATATTGTTGTTGTATTATTATTATCTATAATTTATTGTTGTTCTATAATTTATAAACACTTTTCTATAACTGGGTCATATCTGTAGCTGTAGATCTTAAATTTAGATCTACTTTATATGGATGGAAAGGTAAGACATAGGCCTATAACTTTCATGTAGTTCAAGATTTAAAAAGGCTATTTTCAAGTCCAAATTATAGCAACAACAAAGAAGTCTGAATCTATCTTGCATCCTCAACACTATTTAGTGTTTGGCCTATAGCTAGAGTTCTACAAGTCCAAATGACCTCTACTTTTTTTTCCTAGAAAGCTGAGATGATTTCCTACAACTTTCATGTTTTTAAATGGTTCCAATTCTGACATTATCAATGACGTTTTGGGTAGATAAGAGAAGATAAGGATTGTCACTAAGTCAAGAACTGGTCACCTACTCATTAATTAGCCATCAAATCAATAGTTCCTAATTTTGGCCTATAAAAGGAGTCATTTACCATAAATTTAGGCATCTTGGTCTCCAGATCAAGATCATACTTTTGCTTTCTCTCTTTGTATTTTTGTAATGCTTAAGTTTATTATGTCAAGGTGAAAAAGGTTACACTAATGGTGTAAGAATAAGTATAGCATAAATTTGAACTTTAATGTTTTATATTTTTTATCTTGTTCACTCTTTAATAATTTGCTTGTTAAT